ATAGTTCCAAACTGCGGGGGCGCTGGTGATAGTTCCGAATCCCACGACACTGACCCCCCTGGAGACCTCGATAGCCCCCCTATCTCTCGTAGAAGAAAACCACGTGCAGCTTCCAAAAATCACAGACCCCACTCGGAACTTCTCAATCAGATACTTATTGATAAGTTTAAGGTAAGTGAAAGAAAGGAAATTCAATATTTAATATATTATTTTTTAGGTTTCTGTTCTGTTTAAATTGTAATTCTAGACATTAAAAAACACTTAAATTTCCATTTTTAGCTTTTAAAGTTTAACTTTTGTCTGATTTACGTCAATAAGTACCTAAGTTTTAACGATTTTAATTCATTTTATGAGTAACAGATGGTAGCACTTTGATCAACCCGATACCAAATTGCATATTATTTGTGAAGAGCACAGTAATGAGTATTTACTTGTCCATCACAGCTGTAACAATCGCCCTTGCGTGTTACCAAGTTAGAAAATTGCAACAAGACACTGTAAACAAGATGCTGACTCATTATGTTTTATTTGCGGTGAATTTATTAAAGTAAAGCCTAAGAATATATTGATGCCACCGTTACATATAAAATTGGGCTTAATGAAGCAATTTGTAAAAGCTCTGGATCCAAATTCTGAAGCTTTTGAATATTTAAAGGGATTTTTTTCCAAATTATCTGAAGCTAAAGTAACAGCGGGTATTTTCTTCGGGCCACAAATAAAATGAATAATGAACAGTGATGATTTCGCTGAATTCCTTAATTCTCATGAAAAACAAGCCTGGGCGAGTCTTAAAGCAGTAGTTAATGGTTTTCTTGGTAACAACAAAGCTGCCAATTATAAAGAGTCGATTGAAACTGTAGCGAAAATTTATGTTGGTGTCAATTTGTAACGTTTTAGTAAAATAAATATAAAATTATGTTGGTGCCAATTTGTAACGTTAAATGTAAAATCTATATATATAAAATTGTTTGTCCTGACTGACTGACTGACTGACTGACTGACTGACTGACCTATCAACCTACAGCCAAAACTACTGAGCCTAGAAAGCTGAAATTTATAACATAGGTTTATTTTATAACGTAAGCATCCGCTAAGAAAGGATTTTTCAAAATTTTAACTTTAAAGGGGGGAAATTTGAGGAAATGGGGGAAGGGAGCTTTTAATGAAACTCTTTGTTCTTTAAAGTTAGAAACATGAAAATTTAAATTACAGCTACTAAGCATAAATAAATAATGACGTGTTTCAGGGTTTTTCGATTTTCAGATTTTAAGGGAGGAAAACGGGGGTGAAAGTTTGTATGGGACTATTGATTTTTTTTTGTTCCCTTTGAAGTTATAAATATGAAAATTGGAATTGCAGCTACTGACTACAAATTATTAATGACGTGTTTCAGGGTTTTTGGATTTTCACATTTTAAGGGGGGGAAATGGGGGTGAAAATTTATTTGGGGTTATCTATGTTTTTGGTTCTCTTTAAAGTTAGAAACATGAAAATTGGAATTGCAGCTAATGAATACAAATTAATAATGATGTGTTTTAGGGTTTTTGGATATTCACATTTTAAGGGGGGGAAATGGGGGGTGGAAGTTTATTTGGAGAAATCGATTTTTTTAAAGGTAGGAACTTGAAAATTGAAGTTGTAGGTTCTCATCATAAATAATGAAGTGTTTCAGGATTTTTGCATTTTAACATTTTAAGGGGGGAAATGGAGGGGGGAAATTTGTTTAATAGTATGTATATATTATTTGTTATTTAAAATTTGAAACATAAAAATTTGAATTACAGCTACTGATTAAAAATCAAAAATTATGTGTTTCATGGTTTTTGGATTTTCACATTTTAAGGAGGGGAAAGGGGAGTAAAAATTTGTATAGATGTATATTTGAACGTTAGAACTTGAAAATTGTAATTGTAGCATAAATAAATAATGATGGTTAGATTTTTGTACGGTAGTATTATAAAAATAAACTAAAATTTAAAAAAAAATTATTAAAAATTAATAAAAAGTAAAAAAAATAATAAAAATCAATAAAAATTAATATATTCTCACTAGTGATATATGGATTACTTTATGTTGCCTTAGATACGCATATAATACATCCATATAATGACAGTTGTAAATAAATGATTTTAATTCAAATATTTTCATCAGACCCTCGGCCTAGCTCATATCAGGATCGTGGAGTTCGAGTTTAGAATTTTCTATCAAAACAGTGGTATCATCTTTAATTAAAAATATAAGTAAGTGTTATATTAATGGTTAAGGACGCCATTAATTTGTTAGGTAAAAGTAAAGAATAAATTCAAAGAGTAAAACAAAATATAATGACTTTAATGTTAACGTCAAACACTTAACAGTTTTCAAGTTTAAGAGATATATTAAAACCACAAATAGTTAAATTTTAAATCTAATTAAATTAAAATATAGTGACTATATATTTTTTTTGGTAAAAAAATGTTCGCATTACTGGCAGACACTTATCTGGCTTGGGTTGACGGTCGAGGAGTTTTTAATAAAAATCTAAACGGTACCCCATGAATGTTTATTAAAAAAAAGAAACTGAAGAAATCTATGTTAAATTTTAATGAAAAATAACAAATTTATCAAAGGCTTGTCCGAACTTAAACAAAGTACTTTTGTAAATGATATAAGGAAAATCAAAAGAGTAACAGAGTAATTAAAATAAAAACAAACTAGTTTTTTCTACTACCGTGCGTAAAGTACGTACTTTACGCACTCCACGAAATGTGTAAAGTTGTACTTTTTTTCACTAGTGCCTAAAGTAAAACTCTTTACGCACTAGTTAAAAAAAGTTAAATTGGACAAAATTTGTACATAACAACAAAATATAACGTTTTATTTTATATTAACATTTTTTTGCTATCTCCTTCTAAGACAAATAAATAAATTATTTTTGCTTATATCTATTTAGTGTCCAACAAATTATCAACAGTTTATTTTAATTATAATTTTCTCTAAATGTCATCCATTTAATTAAAAGTAAACATACAGTGGATGTCGATTTTGGTAAAAGTAAGTTGGCCGTGGCTGTGTGGATTAGAAGAACTGTCAATCTCTAAACTTTTAATTAGTACCTACCTTATAACAGAACACGACAAAAGTATACTTAAGTTCAAGATTAGATTCTAAAGCCAATTTAGCATTTTTTTAAACTCAATCAAGTTTGAGAAGGTAAAAAGTTTTACTTTTTAATGTTTGTCTACTTAAATTCAAATTTTATTTGCAGTTTATTATATCTTTCATAATCGATATGGATTCAAATTTATCTAGCGATAGCGAATTTGATAATACTTCCCCAGGTATCTTATGCAGTACACAAAAGGCCACTGAAAATTTATTGCCAGAAAAATCTGCATATATTTATCAGCAAAAATACAATGCATTTATAGAATGGTGTAGGAAGAATAAGGTGACGAAATATTCGGAAAACGTTATTTTATCATATTTCTCTGATGAATTGAAGAATTGCAAAGCTTCTAACCTATGGTCGATTTATTCTGTGCTTAAAAGCACCTTAAAATATAAAAACAACGTTGATATTTCGAAATTCAACAAGTTAATAGCGTTTCTCAAACAAAAAAATAAAGGTTATAAACCAAAAAAATCCAAAATTTTTAAACGAGAAGATCTAATTAATTTTCTGTTGAAAGCTCCAGATTCCAAGTTTTTAATGATCAAAGTAAGTAAATGCCTCAGTAAATGCTTGAATGCTCAGTATAAAATTAAAATATTCTGTAAAGTTTTGCAACGAGATGTGTGTTCGTATGGTGTGTTGCCTAACAAAATCAGTTGCTGTCCTAACAGACCACCGGGGTTGTTAGGCAGCACATTATACCTAAAACTTTTATATTTTTTACAATAGCATTTATTTGGAGTTTTACATGCGCAACGTCAAGATATTTCCTAATGTTTAATAAATTATTTTTAACATTACAATATGTTTTAATCCAAATAATTCTGCAGTTGATTATTTATCTTTCATAAAAAAATATACCTCATTAAAACCATCAAATATAAATTGTAACAGATTTTTTTTTAAATTTTCAAATGGTAAATATTCTAAACAGCCTGTAGGGATAAATACTTTTGGTAAAATGCCAAGTGTTTTAGCAACGTATCTAAACTTGCCCAATCCAACGGCTTTTACAGGACACTGCTTTAGGAGGTCTTCGGCCACTATGCTGGCAAACATGGAGGATGGAAATCATCTGCTGTTGCAGAAGGCTACGTAGACAGCACAATAACACAAAAAAACAAAATTTCTAATAAAATTTTGATGGATGACAGTATGCCATCCACTTCCAAACAAAGCTACAATTTTACCGTTGACAACTCTAATGAAGAATTAGTGGAACCACTCGACAGTGAAACTAGAGTTACACAAAATATTTCAACCTCTTTACTTGAAAAGGCCAAATCCATACCACTCGAAGCTCAAAATAGGGTTACAGAAGTAATATCACAACATTTTTCAAACTCTGTGCTGGAAAAGGCCAAAACCTTAAGTTTTGGTAATTGCAATAATTGCACATTCAATATTAATATTCATAAGAGTTAAAAACCTATTTTTTTAAATATTTCTTCATTTGTTAGTAATTTTGTTCTGTAAGAATTATAAATTTGTAAAGTTCCAATAAATTTATTTTTGTTGCTGTGTACAATTTTTGGCACATTTTACTTTTTTTCACTAGTGCGTAAAGTAAAGTACCTTTTTTCACTAGTGAAAAAAAGTAACTTTTATATTTCTAATATTAGTGGATTATGTGTACGGTAGTAGGAAAAATATTGTATGCCACTCGTGTGTAAAGTCCCTTTTTTGACTCATGTGATTGTCGCACTCGCCTACGGCTCGTGCGACAACATTCACATTCGTCAAAAAAGGGTAACTTTACACACTTGTTGCATAAATAACTATTTTTTTATTTTTGAATCCTTTTTTGTTTTTTCTTTTTGTTTTGGATTGCTTCTAAAATATAAGCTGGTTCCCTTAATGACATCCCTCGTACGTGTCTTGGATCTAACAGTTCTGGTAATATACAATTCATAAAAAAACTTTTTCATTTTTGTTTAATTTTGTTTTGATAGAAATCATTTCTCTTTAACATGTACTCTATTTTGAGTGGATATTTATGGTCTGTCCAAGCACCAAA